ACACACACACACACACACCATAACGATAGGCATACCTCTTAAATAGTTATTCACCTTGCCTGATTAATGTTTTCATATAAACACTGACTCTTACTTGCTGAATAAGAAGAAGAATATTTTCGAATCAAAATTGGAGCAGTGACAGTGTCTTGCATCATTTATCTTGATTTGAATCAGTAAATAAAACTGAATTGTAAAAAAGCTGTCATCTTGGCACAATGCCCTGCAGCACTGTGTTCAGATAGCTATGCTCCTTTTTTTAAATTGCTGAGGAACATTCAGGCAAAGACAAAGATTTTCTATAAAAGCCAAAGTTTTATGCTCCAAAATGGTTTCGATACCATTTTTCTATTCAGATTTGCTTCAGCAACAGGGAAATAAAAAGTTTTGTGACCCTGTGATGGTGTTGCATCAGGTCTGTCTTGTGGTAATATTAACTATAACTCGCCTAAATCAAAAGGTCATGGTGGGTTATGAAAAAATCATCATCCCATCATGCATTTTTGCTTCCCAACATGACTATTGATCCAGTTCACTGGTCAAATGTCTCATAAACATCCACTTCTAAAGTCTCCCCCAGGTCTTAAAGGGCTTATGAATTAATGTATAGTAATGAGAAGTTAGATTTCCTTTATTATAAAGTTCTCAGTAATTAAATTTTATTGCCTACTGCTAGTCAATCATCTTTTAGTCTGAAAAGAAGTGTCCGAAGACCCATCGGCCTTTCTATGTAAAAACTGCAGAGGAACTGCCTTATTATGCCTTGTGGTGATCACGCAGTGTGAAAACATGACCACCCTCCTCCGCCTCTGTCTGTACCTCATGTTGCTTATCCTGTTGTCACTGATCTCAGTCTGTGTCCTCTAAACCATTGATCTCAGCTGTTTTCCCACGTCTGATCATTCATCCACTCTGCCTTTCAACCCACTGCCCCTTTTGCCCTTAACACACACACACAAAAACACATACACATGCAGCATACACTTAATGTCCAGTCTCAAGCACTTAAGTGTTTCCTGTCAGACACATACTCATCGGCAAAACCTGGGCGTTTTCTTTCTCCCTTTGCTGATGCTGACACTACTTTTTGTCTCATGCACCATACACTTCTGAACATACAAACATAGACACACTGTGTCATTAGTGCAGCAGAGTGATGCAGTAGATAGAGAGAGCAAGGAAAAGAGTAGTGGAAAAAGAAGGGGCAAGAAAGCTTAGAAAGCCAAGTGCAGAAAGCCAAATAGGAAGGGATGAGATTAGGGAAGGGAAGGGTGACACATATGTGGAAGTGGAGGAAGGGTATGGAGAGATTTTAAGGATAAATAGAGCAATAGTCTGTGGCCAGGGTGAATGAAGAGTGGAAACAGACGAAGTACCGAGAGTCTTTTATTCCAAATGGATGAATTGTCATGCATCAAATACATGATATCCATTCCTACAGTGACACAACAGGTCATAACTAATGTTATGATCAAACACACTGATATTACAACACTTATAAAACCCACAGCACCATACAAACATGCATAGTGAGTGTTAAATATTTCTAGCTGGTAATTGGGCATCCATGTTTATGTATGAGATCTCCTACACAGTGTAACCATGGGAGTGTGACAAGCACATGTCCGACAATCCCAGAGGTTTATTGGTGTGTGCCATTCTGTGTAGTGGCGGTCACGTGAATGTTCTAGAGGCCCTTACTAGCATAAAAGTACACTATCGTATTTAGGTACCGAAGCAGAAAAGCTTATTTTAGGGATGTGGATAAAAATGTTAGAGGCAGCATTCAAATTTGCATATGTACTCTGTGTGTTTGATGAAAGAAGCAGAGAGTCACCACCCACCACCCACCATTTTAATTTGAAAGTTTAAAGTGACTGTCTAGTAAACAGGAGATCCTGGGTTCAACTCCCAGCAGTGCCTTTTTACCAGTCAAGCTTATTTTATACTTGCTCTCCCATCTTCTTAATGTAGTTTCTGCTAGTTTGCCCTGTCGTACAGTTTTGGTTTGTCAATTCTGCATATCAACAGGCGCTGTGGCTTAGTTGGTCAAAGTGCCTGTCTAGTAAACAGGAGATCCTGGGTTCAAATCCCAGCAGTGCCTTTTTACCAGTCAGGCTTTGTTTATACATACCCTCCCATCTTC